AAGAGGGTGGAAGATATGACACCTGTATTGTTTCCTGTTCTGTTGTGGCGCGCAAGAGAGGTTTTTAAATTTCGTAGAGAGTTAAAATTGCGAATACATTATTGTTGGTGTATTCGGAAGCACCTCAGTATTGGGTGTGGGCTATGAGAGCACACGGCCGAGCGGCGTCCCGGGAAGAAATCTGAAGAATGTTGGGCCCAGCAGCAGTTTAGGAATAGAGGCTCAAGAGCAGTTGAGTGTGTGGAGCAAATAGCAGTTTTAGAATGTGGTGCAAATAGCAGTTTAGAATGTGGGGTGAGGCAGCCATTTGGAATGTGGGGCGAGTAGCCGTTGGCAGTGCTTGGCACAGAGCTGGTGGGCACAGAGACGGTGGGCCCAGAGCCTGTGTGCATAGCGATGGACAGTGGACACAGCCTCAGGATGGACGTTACTGTCCGAGAGCTCATGGAGCTCTTTCAGCAGAGCCCGTTGGTGGCAGGGGTGAGTACACCTGCCTCCCTGTCCCATTGCGGGTGCCCTGGCTCCTCTCCCGCCCCCCTGAGGTCTCCACAGACCCCACCTGCCTGGGCCCTGGCAGTCCTGGGACTCAGGGGTCTTCACAGGTTTCCAAACTGGGGCAGGGGTCCTGGCCTGGAGGCCTGAGGGGTTTCCTACTCTGGAGCCCATGCACCAGGTGCAGGACCCCCTGGCGCTTCCAGCCCTGGACTGAGATGAGTTCACCTGCTCCTGCCAGGGGCCTAGGCTGCGGGTCCAGGCTCTAGATGGTTTGACTCAGTGGTTAGAGTGTTGGACTGCTCACCAAAGGGTCGCAGGTTTGATTCCCCGTCAAGGGCATGTCCCTGGTTTGAAGGAGGTGATGTCGGCAGTTGGAGGAGAGGCTGCCCAGTGAGGATGAGGCCGTGGGCCTGCGCTCACACCCGACAGAAAGGGGAACCAGGTGGTCCTGTGTGGCCTGTGGGGATGAGATCCAGGCTCACCTGAGAAGTATTTCAGTTATGAAAGTTTCCTCAAAAATAAGATTGTCATGTTTCCCAACCTTCTGACATAAGCGCTCTAATATTTGACTTCTTCACGTTAGGATTTTATTTGAAGAAATAAAGATGCTATCCCTCCCTGACCCTCCCCCTCCCAAAGGCTTTACCCTCTTTGTGTGACACATGGATGGACGCGACTGGATTCCCTGGGACAGTTGAGGGAGCTCCACACTGGGTGGAGTGCTGTCTGGTGGGAAGTCAGTGTCCTCCTTGAGCTAGTGTGACAGCAGCAGTGGTGTGTGAGGAAAGGGCTCCGCTGCAGAGTGTGGCTGCACTTGCTGAGGAGCCTGCCCGCCCCCCACAGGAACTTGGTGGCTGCGGGTTAATAATGTCAGTGAGGTGGGTCAGCTGTGGGAGAGTGGGCCTAGGTCCCAGGGGGCGTGGCCTTGGGAGGTGGGTGCTCTCAGGGACCCTCCGCTGCTCCCTGCCCGGCCTCCGCAGCACCTTACCCTTGTGTGCCCTCAGGTGACCCGCCACCAGGAGAGCCTGTTGGACCTGCAGTGGTTGGAGGTCCCAGACATGGCCCTGGAGGAGGTGGAGTACCTCTCTAGCAGCATGACCTGTCGCCTCAGGAGGGTCTTAATTGAGCAAGACCATTGCAGGAAGGTGTGTTTGTGGGTGGCCCAACAGCCTGGGGGACGGTGGGGAGGGGCCTGGGTCTGGGGCCTAGTTATGGCCACGCTCCTCATCCTGACTTCCTCTCAAGCTGCACATTGTCTGTCCTGCTGGCCCATTTCCATGGGGGCAGGACATGGGTGCTGGGGTCCAATCCCAGCAGGTCCAGGGGTCCCCAAAGGTGTGGACGGAGTCGGCGAAGAAGGAATGACACGAAGACAGCCTTCAGTTGGTCAGCAGCCTAGTCAGGACCTATAGCCAGGATCTCCAGCCAAAGTTCTGGTCGGAGTTCTGGTCAGGAACTGATGAGGATCTGACGTTTATTGTCTTATTACATCCGTATTTATACCAGCCGATCTCAATCCTGTCAATTTCTATTACAAGGGTTAAGGTGTTTCTCATCTCCATTCCAGGGAGTAAAGACCATGTAGCTTGATTACCCGCCTGGCACTTAATTAAGGGGTGGTATCCCCTCCCTAACCTCAGGGAAAGATCCCCACCTGGGGAAACAACTTTCTCGGAGAGGTGACCTTGGTTAAAACACATGGCGCTAAAGGCAGCAAACATATTAACTAGGATGGACCGGCCTCCGGCACGTGGGCACTTTCCCTGCAGGGCACAGTCCCCTGAGACACCTGTGTGAGGACAGAGGTTGAGCTTGGGGGGCCTGCTCCATTCACTCGGCCCTTCTGTTTCACTAAATATATCCTGGCTTCTTAAAAACTCCCCCACTTTCTCCTGCCTCCCTCCTGGCTTTGCAGTCTCGGCTGCCATCTTCTCTTTTACTTTCTTCCATCTTTTAGTCATTCTTCACCACTTTCTAGTGCGGGCACTGTGCCGGGCACAGGAGCACGCCGGTGAGACCCCCTGTCTGCCCTGCTGTAGCTGTTCGTGACCATGACCCAGGAGTGGAACACCAGCAGCCGCCCCAGCGAGGACACGCACCTGGCCATGGAGCTGGCGGACACCAAGGCCACCCTGCGTGGCGTCAGGCAGGAGCTGTGAGTTCCCCAGTGACCCCGGTCTTTCTGCTCTTGTGCTGTGTGTCACCACCCATTGCTCGCACATGTGGTTCACTGCCATGCAGTGCAGCAAACGGGGCAGCTCTCACAGTGCCCTGGAGTGACGGGGCTCTGCTTTGAGCTGGGTCCCTGTTGGGCCCTGGGCTAGCCCACACTCTTCCCTCCCCGGACCTGCACAGCAGGGTTCTGCTGGGCCTTTAGGGCTCCTGCCAGTCCAGACATGGCAGACTCAGAGCAGCAGCCTGCCGCTCAGCCTCGGGCCCAGTGTGGGTGCTCTTGGCTGGAGGGAGGATGTGTCTCTCCAGTCCCGTCTGGTGGGCCTGCTGCCCCTTTCCTGCAGCTGGTGATGGCACCATGCCCGGTATCTGGGAAGCTGCCAGCCTTCACCTCCCTGCCAGGGGGTCTCCATGCCTGCCTGGCTGTGGAGGGAGCAGTGGCTCTGGGGGCTCCTTCCCTGTCTGCACCCTCAGAGGAAAGCTCAGGTCTGTGCTGAAGTCTGAGAGCAGCAGTGACAACGTAAAGCTCACCTTGGACTCCAGAGTGTTTTTGCAGCCCCACGTATAGACGCCCTCCTCACGCCTAGAAGCCAGGACCCCCTCCTTCCCCACTTTGGTCTCCCAGGTGGTGGGCTTTCCAGGTGCTTTTGAGGAACCCTCACCACGTTTTCTCATCGCCCCCAGGGAGGAGAAGACAAAGCAACTGGCAGACACCAGGAATCAGTTGTACCAGCTGGTGCTGGAGCTGCAGGAGGCCCGGCACAATGTGAGCAGGAGGCCTATCGTGTGGGCCGGGGGTGGGGGGCTAGGACGCCCCAGTCACCGGGGCCCCAGGTCCAGGAATGTGACCTGGGACACCTCTCCTTCCCGCTCAAAGTGGCGGTGCCCGAGAGCCAGCTGTCTGGGAGCTGCTGGGGGATGATGTGCTTCAGTGACAGCATGTGGGGCCCACACACAGGGGCCTGCACATGGACCAGCTTGGCCGCTCCTGGCTTCTCCTGGGGCTGCAGGGACTAGGGCCTTTCCCTGAGCCAGGTCTCCTGCCTTTGCCCACCTCCCAGAATATGGAGCTGGCAGCCAGAGCCCAGGCTTCCTGTGCCCCGGTCCCTGAGCTGGACTCCCTGAGGGAGAAGGCGAACCGCGTGGAGAGGCTGGAGATGGAGGCGATGGGCCTCAGGCAGAAGCAGAAAGACATAGTAGAGTTCTATGCATCCCGCATGAAGGTGAGGCTGACCAGGGTAGGTGGCCGGTGGGCACTTGGGTCCTGGAAGAGCGGAGAGGGGCTGCGATGTCTCCCCAGCTGGCCCTCTCCCTGCATCGCAGACTGACTGCGCGACCCCTGGGCTCCCTCTGGTAGTGGAAGGAATAGGATTGGGAATGTGGTTGAAAGGCCCTGTTTCTTCTAGGACTTTTCCTCCTCCTCCTTCATGCCACAATGATGACCTTCTATTCACTAATCTTTTTCTTTAAGACTCCTTGTAATTTCTATGGCTAAATCTTACCAGGACTGCTTCCTCATCTATAAAACAGAGATAACTGTACTAGTTCGTGAGGTTTATACAATGAAAGAGGTAAAACACCTGGTATTTGGGCAAGTCCCATATGAAGCTCTCCATGGTGTAGCCTACTCGGATCCCGAGGTTATGGGTCTGTTCAGAGGAGGGTGTCAGGGCTGAGGGGGGATGGAGACCAAGGCCCAGGCAGGGTAACTGACGCTCTGACCATGCACCCAACTGCCTCACATGAGCAGTGAGTTCAGGACCCTCTCTTCCAGGCATGTTTGCTCCTCCCACCTACTCAGGGAGTGGCTGTTCCCGCAGGAATGTTGGTGGATCACTGCTCTGCTCCCTGGGGACAAGGCACCCTGGGTGCTGTGCCCTAGCAGCCCGGCCCAGGAGGGGGGGGGTGGGGGCCAGCTCTTGGCTTTGTCCTGGAAATGGCCCCCTGGCCCAGCTGCTGATGAAAGGCATCAATCTGCAGCACAGACAGGTGTGGGGCACGGGCACCCTCCCTCACAGGTAGGAGGGTTGCGGAAGGTCATGTGCAAGCTTCCCCAGGCTGTGGCCTCCGCAGCCTCCTGCACACTGGGGACCTAAGGCAGCCCCCACATCTCAGCCGACACTCTGCCCCGTGGATGGGGTGGGTTTCAGGGCTCAGCCCCTGTCTCCGTGTCTTTTCTGGGCCTGTCCAAGCAGCCTCACTCAGTCATGCAGACGCAGTGACTGAAGGCCTGTGTGGCACCAAGCCCTGCGCCAGGAGCAGGGGATCTAACACAAAGCAAGACTCGCTCCTGGCACTGGGGAGCTTCTGGGCTTTTGCAGGGCTTCCCATGGGAGCCCCTTTTTCGTGTTCTCAAGGTGTGTGCCTCTGGATAACAGCAGCAACATTTCTCATATTGATTAATAATTTTTCTCTGAAACTAGCAATGCCTTACACTTTGCATTAGTAAATGAATTACAAGAGAAACAGAGTGGTCCGTGGAGGCCAGGCCACATAGAGAATGAGTCACACTGTTCTCCGAGGCCCATGTGCCGGGGCCCAGGGATGAACGAGGACAGTGCTCACACCAATTCCGGCTGGGTTTTGAAGGCTGGGTAGGAGTTGGTTGTAAGGGTGAATGGGGCAGGCTGTGCTATGGAACTCAGGGCCTGGGATTATGGTGATACTGGTGAGTACTGGTGAGTAAACTGGCTGGAACACTAGATCCGAATGCTGGGGGCAGTGGCCAAAGAGGGAGAGTTGGACCTTCTTCCTGCGTGAAGCCCCTCCATGTACTCTGGCTCACATCGCTGATACTAGTCCGGGCTCCTTAAGGATGGGGTGCAGGCTGCTGAAGGCAGTGAAGCGACAAGTCTGGAGCTCTCCAGCCTGAGTTCAAGCCCAACTTCACCACTGGTTGGCTTTGTGACTTGGGGCTCATTCCTTAATTGACCCAAGTCAGCCTCTTCGTGTGTAGGAAGGGACTGTCCCTGCCTCCCTCTGGGGGCTGTTGTGCAGAGTGAATGTGGCAGAGACAGAGAGCACCTAGTGCAGGGCCAGGGACCAGCAGGGAGGGGGCCGTCAGGTGAAGCCAGAGTCAGTGACCAAACCCTTCCCGCTGCCAGGCTTTGACCAGAATCGTGTCCACTGGAGGTAGGTGTATGGTTTCCTCTCCACCGAGAATCTGGGGTTCTGACCTGTTCGGGGAAATGAACAGGTGATGGATAAGCAGGAGCTACCGGCCTGCTCTCATGAGCGAGGCAAGCCTTGGAAAACTGCTCCCTGAGAGAAACAGACACATCCGCGAGTATCAGTGCTCACAAACTGTGAGGGCATTGAGGGGAGACTCAGCCCCCTAAGACATGAGTGGCGCTGGGAGGACTCTGGAGGGCAGGACCAGGGCTGAGCGGAATGAACTGAATGGTTCCCCTGTGTGCTGGGCACTGGGATAGGAGTAAGTACCATGGACCCTTCCCATTTGGTGGCCTTTGAGGGCCCAGACATTGCGTCCCACTCCCAGCATGTGTCTGACCCACAGAGGCCCATAGTACTTGTTTGTTGTGTCTTACAGACCCCTCATTTCCAGGAAACTGCTGAGAGTAGGTGTGTGAAATGTTCAAATAGGAAGTGCATATTGACCAAAAGCTTATCTGAATTTTGTTCCAGAACCAAGATCAGTGGAGTGACTGAGAGGCCTAGCCTCAGCCCTCAAACCCAGGACTCTCAGCCCCACCCCTTCTTTGTGAAGGAAAGGGGCTCAGCCAAGCCCTATATCTGTCAGCAGGTGCACTCGTCCAACCACCCGAGGTTGTACGTGTCAGACACTCTCACAGTGTTCCCTTCCCAAAGTTAAATAGTGTCTTGCTTCGGGGATTTTTCCATCTGCCTGGCCTAGTGGAGAAGGGCAGGGGCTCAAAAGTGGAGACAGAACTTCCCGCGGCAGCAGAGTCACCCCTAGGTTGTTGGTTTGGGTCCAGGTGCCTGGAAGAGCTGTCGTCATGACCAGGGGCCTTAACCTCATTGCTCTCATGTATGTTCTTGCTGACCAGGAGCTGATTGAAGATAATTTTACCCTAATGGACACGAAGGGCCTTCTCCAGGAGCAGCTGACTGTCGCTTGGTCCCGGGTCGATAAGCTATACGAGCTTGAGGAGGAGAACGTGCAGCTGAAATCAAAGCTGCGCCGCCTACATTTGGTAGGACAGGCTGTCATCGCCACGTGTAACACAGATGAGGGCGGTTTTAGGTTCATGTTGTGCTCTTCTCTGATGTTCAGCTACTGGGTTGGTGCTGCCGCCGGCACAATGACCCGCTGATGGCAGAGAGTCGCTTGCTAACTTCAGTGGCTTGAGTGGGCACCACTGAAGGCTCCCAACACAGAGAGGGCCTGATGCTGTGTTGCTTTCCTGTGAGGTTGGATGGATGTGGGCCTCTTTGCAAAAAGGGTCTCCTCTGGCGTTTATGATGTGGGTTGAGCTGTGATGTGTGAGTCCCTACAGCCTTTCCAAGGCGTTAGGCCTGCTAAGGGGCCACAGAGCTGCCGTCATTATAGCATTTGCTCTAAAGCCCTGTGCTGTACGTCACTTTGTTCAGACACCACTCAGAGAATTTCATCCCCTAGGACCTAGGGCAGGGGTGGGCAACCCCTGGCATTCGTGTGAAACATGGCACGCCAGTAACTTTTGCTGGCACTTGAAACCCTCTCATATGATCTTCCATTTACAATTGTGAATCTTTGTTCTCAGTGATGAATTTTGTTAAGTCTCATAATAGGAGTAGCCTGACAGATGAAAGTAGTAGCTCGTGCATATCTCTGAAGGTCACGAAATAATAAATCTGATGTAAAATCTCTGTCATCAGTGATGCAGCAGCAAAAGTCCCACTGATAATATCAAACGAGTCATAAAGTTTTCTGTCAGACTATCAGTGTACATGTATACATTAAAAAATAAATGTATTTTTCATCATCATATACTGTGTTTTTGTTGCTCAAATGAATTTTATTATTTCTTCAAGGTTCTACACATATGTGCACCTTAAGAAATATCAAGTAGGCATAATATGTTCTCAAAAAATTAGGGCTGGCACGCAGAAGAATTTTGAGTCAGAGATTTTGCTGATTTTGGCACGCACTCACAAAAAGGTTGCCCACCCCTGACTTAGGGCCTAGGTCACTCGGTCAACATACCTTTCAGTGGTTGTAATTCTCACAGCTGGGTCAGGTGTTGGAGTCATTTCTGTGCAGCTGTGGTTTTGGAAGTGAGCAGGGGCATGGAGGCCCTTCATCCTGGGGGAATGAGGGCAGATGCACAGGGGCCAGGACCTGTCCAGAGCGTGCTCCAGTCTGAATCCTCACCCCATCCCCTTTTCTGCACATTCAGGCCCAGGACACAGACCAGAAACACCTTGAGGAGCTGCAGGAAGAGAACTTGGCCCTCAAGGCTGCACAGCGGCAGAGTGTGGAGGAGTCCGCCCACCTGCGCTGGGAGCTGGACCAGCTGTCAGAGGGTAGGCAGCAGCCGCTGGTGCCGTGGAGCCAACCTGATTGAAGACTATTACACTTTAATAGATAACCAAGGGCCTTTTCCAGGAGCAGCTGACTGTTCGGCTTCTCCCTAAGCCAGGGAGCTGAGCCCTTGGCTCTGAAACTCGTGTGTCAGCCCAAATAAATAGGGTTTTATTCAAGGGCCATTTGGAACTGTTTCATTGCAATTCTCTCCAAGAACATGAAGGGCCTGGCAGCCTTGAAGTCAGGACATGAAATGTAAAGGAAGTGCTGCCAGATTTCTCAGTTCCCATTCAGCTAGACACAGAAGCTTCCAAATGACAGCACGCTGACACCCAGAGGGTGTCTTAGATCTCTCTGTGGAGCACTGGAAGCTCTGGATGCAGGAGATGTCCCCAGTGGTCACTCACCTCCATCATAGTTGTACCCGGGGCATGGTTTCCTCCGTTGATTTCATAATCTGGCAGATGGGTGTAGTCTGCTCTCCATCTTCCTGGGCAGGGGCTGCTCAGTGGCTGCTGTACAGGCGACCCAGGCCTCTTCCTCTCCCTCTGTTGTGTGTCCCCTCCCAGCCCCCAGAGGAGGTGTGGGGTTGGCCAGGGAAGGTGGGTGGGGCGGCCGTGCAGCAGAAGCCTCAGCACCCAGCAAACAACAAGCCAGTTCCTGTGTCCAACAGTAGCATGCGTGCACCTGTGAGTGCAGGTCAGGCTTTGCTTAGAGCTCTGCAGAGCCAGGAAGGTCTTTGGCTGGTTTTTCAATTCTGAGCAACATTCCTAAGCGTCATGGAAAGGCTGTTGAAAGCAGCTGGGTAGTCCTCTCTTCAAGGCGTCCCATCTACTCCAAACCTAAAATCAGTTCATTGAATTATGAGTCTGTGTGAGAAGTTAGTTTTTTTCTGTGGTTTGGTGTCTCCTCACTCCTGGGAATCCAGGCTCTGGGAGTTCAGGTTCCTGGGGAACACCACTGCCCCCTGGTGGGACACAGAAGTAGTGCTGGCTGGCAGGGACTGGCTCAGACCAAATGTGCTTGTTAGAGGCCAAGGTGGCTGATGGGGCTGGAAAGCCTCCCTGATTCAGATGCTCAGTGTAGCTTATGAGCCCTTTCAGGTCAGTGACTGACTGACTTCTTGATGTTCCCAACTCCTACTGCTTAGCTGGAGGCTCACGAACAAAGTGTGAATGTACTTTTGTGTGGTTGGGGTGGTGGCTTCTTGAAACAAAAAGGCCTGGTTTAAAGTCCTGGCTCCTCTACTTGTTAGCCAAGTGACCTCTTCTGCACCTCAGTTTTCTTATCTGCAAAATGGGGGTAATGAAGCTGCCTCACAGGATTGCTATGGGTATCTTGTGAGAGGAGACAGTGAAGCGTTAAACTATGCCTGGCACACGGGGCTCCAACAAAGGAGGCTGTTATTATTGTCCTTGTCTTATCCAAAGATACCTTGTCTTATCCTTGTCTTATCTTACTCTGCTTCTTGGGGTGCTCGTGAGCAGCCCTACTAGCAGTACAGTGCGATAAGGCTCCCAGGGTTGAGTGTGTGGCCCTGGAGGGACAGGTGAGGGAACAACCCTGACCCCTCAGACATTCATGGTTTCCTCCTGAACAAGCCCTGGGACTTATCCAAAGTCATGTACCTCCTGGTGGCAGCGAAGGGCCGCGAACTCCCATACTTCTCAGGTTGGGCTCCCTTTTCTGTTCTGCATTCAAGCTGTTTAAAAGCAACAGAGGAAATCTGCCTTTTTCTGGCTTTGCCTTATGTTTTCATCTCGCCTAGAATTTTTAAAGCAATTTGGCTATACTGTCTCATTCTTTTTCTTTTTCTTTCTTAATTTTTGCTTATGAGAATGAACGGAAGAACTCGTCAAGGGAGGACTGGATCTCGCTTGGCTGAGAGGGTGGTGCAAGCTGACCTGTGGAGGGCTCTAGAGTGGATGCAATCGGCTGTGGATCTAAGCAGGGTGTTAAGTCAACATGGCCTTGTGGTGCACATGTGGAGAGGTACAATGACAGGCTGAGTCGACTTATGTGCCTCTTAATGTCAGCTATTTCTTTCCAAATGTCCTTTAGGTCTCTCAAAACATGGTCTATCATTTCTATAATGACCTGAAGTTGGGGGGCAGATGTTTCAGGAGGTTTCTTTAACACGTCTATCAGCTGGAGAAGCGCGGTTCTAATGCTGCAGGCTGATTCTGCAGATTGAGTCTGGGCAACTGACAGCATGCCCTGTACTTGGCTAACTGTCTGCTCCATTATCTCAGGATTGAGTGGCACAGATTCTTGAGTAGTTGCTATCTCCATTATTTCCATTGTTTCAGATTCTGATATAATCTCTTTGTGTGGCTGGATCACTTGAGAACCTTTCCTTGTCTCCACGTGCTATTTCTTGGGATAATTTGGTCTTCTTCTGTCTCCTGGCAGCTTTCGCTCTCGTCACTGGATTGGACATCGTAGTGGCTGGTCTCTAGTAGCCTATCGGCAATTATCTCAAGGGCCCTAATGAGAACTCTTAATGACATTGTGTCCCTGTCTCATTCTTTTTCAATGCAATTGTGAAAGTACAAAATGAAATCTCTGACTGAAGGAATTTACCCAGAGGTGGCAAGTACTGGGCATATGTGCCCCATAGCCTCTTCCACCCACAGACATGCGGGTCAATGATTCTGTCCCCTCTAAACCCTCGGCTGAGCCTCCCGGACTCCCACCACTCTGAGGCTGGCACAGAGAACACACTCTCTTTGCCATCTGTTAGTCTCTGCAATCCTTGACTTGATGGTCAGGTTACAACTTTGTAAAAATGTGGTTCCAGCAGTTCCATCATCTTGAACTTTTGCATTGGCTTTTCTCTACCATCACCTGCTTTCTTCTTAAGCTCTGCTTGCTTCCCTAACAATCCCAGCGGAGCCAGCAGAGGGGCCATAACCACCCGAGGAACCTTCAGGTGCATACAGCAACAGCACCCTGGGGAAAAGGGAGGGCACCCAGATCACCATCCTGGCCCCCCTAACCTAGGGCTCAGGGTGATGGCCGACTCAGGGCTGGGGACAGAGAGCAGAAGCTGAGGCCTCTGTAATATGGACTCTGACTCCACTTTACTCTTCAGCCTCCAGCTGCTTCCTGAAGCTGGACCAGGAGAAGCAGAGCCTCCAGGGCACCATCCAGGGGATGCAGGATGCCTCCCTGGCCCTGCAGGAGAGCAGCCTCCAGCGCCGGGAGCTGGAGGAGGAGAACCAGCAGCTCAGCAAGCAGGTACCTGTGGGTAGAGTCCGGAACATACAGGCATGTAAGTGGCCAGGGGGAGCACCCAGGTGTCGGTGAGCATGCGCAGCTGGGGGACAGACAGAGACCAGTGCAGCCACCGTTATGGTAGGGGGACAGGAGGCCTCCTGGAGAGGCATCACTAGGCAGCAGGAGGAGTCCCTGCAGCAGTGAGACTGCACACGATGGACCTCTGTGTGCCTCGCTGCCTTCATCTGTGAAATTGGGTTGCATTACACCCACCTAGTAGGTGTGGTGAGGATGGTGTGAGTTAGTGCCAGCAAAGGGTCCAGCGCGTGGTAAGTGCCTCATGGAAGGAGAGCAGCGCCCTGTTAGAAAGCACCGGACGGGGTCCAAGTGCGGAAGCAGGCACACAGTTGCAGGTCCCTCACGCAGCGTCCTGCACCCCCAGCTCTGCAGCATTTCCGGTTCCGCAGGGGGAGAATGTCACCTCAAGGCCTTGGCACCGCCCATCCGGGTCCCTTCCCTTCTCTGAGCATCATGGGCTCCAGTCGCTGCTGCCAGTCACTCAAGGACTCTGGTCCAGACGCCTGGCCGAGTCCTCTGGGAAGGAGGGGGTCCCCCGCTGGGTCGCCTTGGGCCTGGCAGGAGGGCGCTGTCTGTAGAGACTGTCGCGGGCGCTGAGGCCAGCGGGCTGAGGCCATTGAGGGGAGCGCGAAGGGCCACCGTGTTCCTGGTCGCCGGGCACAGGGACCCGTCGTTCAGGGCCACCTTCCAAGGCGGCCGCTGTGTCCGTCCCAGGTCCCTCAGTCCAGGGAGGCCTCCGCGCTCTGCAGGCCAGTCCAGCCTGTGTTGGGCGCGGGGACGCCTGCTCCACAAGCCTCCCTGGGAGCCGTGGCTTTCATGGAGCGCCCGCCTCCGAGCTTGCGCACTGGGTTGATGCTGGTCAGAGGAGTGTGATGACATTTACTTAGGGACGCCTGGTTGCGGAGGACTTGGGCTTCGGAGAGTGCGCAGTGGGAGCATCAGGAAGACCCCTTGGCCTCACATGGGAGGGCTGTGCTGAGCGGTGGCGGTGGCTGGAGCGGATCCCTTCCCGCCAGGCGGGGCCAGTGATAACAGTGAAAATCCCAGAAGGTAGGATGGCAAAGCAAAGCGATTTGCATTTCTGAATCTCCAACATGGACTATCTGTTACTTATGCAACGAATCTACTTAATGCAAAACAACTCTTTGGAAGGCCCAGCAAAACCCAGTTTCCTCAGGAAGTAGCGATGCCTCCCAGGATGTGAGTCGTCATAGTCCAGCGTCATGTGGGCATTCAAGCCCGGCCTCTACATCTCCTCACAGACACGGAAGGGCCTGGATAACATGGCCCCATCACCACAGGCAATTGGGAGATCTCTCTCTCCTCCAGAAAACGTTCAGAAACAAGCAGTGATGAGACAGATGCCATAGGGCGGGGAATGTGCTTCTCCACGGCTGGATCAGTCAGGATTTCCCCATCAGTTCAGTCACATAATCGTCGTTATCAAGAGTCTCCAAGCTCCCAATGGCGTCAAGACACACCGTCATCGCTGCGTCAACCAGGCAGAGCTCTCCTCCCTGCCCAGGAGCAGACACGATAGCCGTGAGCAGCACCCAGAGGACACGGAGATGGTCACTTCCGTGAGGACAGGAACCACCTGGCTGGAGCCACGACCAGGACAACAGAAGAGGCAGCAGGAGAGCTGGGAAGGGGCTTCATCCCCAAACGAGCAAGTGTCCAAAGGACAGTGTTTTTATAGGGTCATCCTAGGCTGAATTGGTCTGGGAACGTTTCATTAAAACTGTACAGAGCAGTTTTATAAGTTGCCACATTTCTTTATAAAATTTTTTAAACATATAGCTATCGTCTAATACAGAACTGAGAAGACTTGTGATGACAGCTTTTACATGGATAGCCTTTCACCTCAGGGCTTCATGCAGAGGAAAGGGTTTTATGCAAAAGGAAGTTCCACAATTCCTAATCGTTTTAGAAATTGAGGAAGGTGCGTGTTCTATGTATTGGTTGTATCATAAAGAAAATATTTTAATGCTCTATTATCTATTGTATTGCAAGAACCTGCTTATTAGTGAATCACATTTTGTGTATATAATAGAAAACATTCAAGTTGGTAGTCTAAAATACAGTAGTATTTTGTTAACAAATGAGAAAATGTCACATCAATGATTCATTTTACTAACATTTGAGAAAGATTGTTGGTGAAGTTTGAGATAAATCATATTGTTTAACTTCATAAAGAATGTAAGTGTAAGTTCTGTGACGTGCTCTTTGAGTTTTGCCCTAATTGGTTATCAAGTGTGAATGTTCACTTCCTATTTCATTCTAAAATATTAGAATTTTCTAATTAAATCATGTTTGAATAACTGAAGTCACTCAGGAAGTTAAATATCCCTAAATGCATTTTTTTAAATTAAAAATTCAGTGCTAGTGTAAATTCTCCTTTTCAGGAAGAACAAAAATGCAAATGCGGAGTCAGATAAAATGATTTTCTGACAGTATGCTTGTTTGGGAAAAGGTTCACAAAGCCTTTAAGTGCTGCCTCTATTACTCAAACTTCAAAAGTTTACAATTTTTAAAGTCCCCAGGGTATGTGTGCAAGGACACATTTTATTATAGGGATTATGCATGTTGTCTTTCTGTTTGAACATTTGAATGAGTTAAGTCTTATACACTTTCTAGTTTTAAAAATTTTAAATCCTGTTAAAGCTTTTATGTATCAAGATGTTTCCCTTTAATTTTAGAACTAGTTTATAAAGGATATATTTGGATCCTGTTTAATAACTACAGCATTTTGTAATGTTACTTTTTAATATATTGAAATCATAAAACAAAGAAAGAATAAAACAGAAAACACTGGTGGGTCCCGAAGGGAGGCAGAGATGGAAGACACGCTCCCGTGTGGAGACCATGGATGGGCCGTTTCAGGGCATGGCTGCTGGTGACAGGAGCGCAGTGCTCACTCTCTCCTTTCAGTCGAGGGCATGAGGAGGAAGAGATGGCTGGACGGCATGGCCTTTCTGGACAAACCAGGTCTTCCCAGTAGCGCAGTAGAACAGAGATCTGGGAGGACAGACAGGCTCACCAGCCAGGTTCATCCTACAGTCACCAGGACCCCATTCACATGGCAAGAAGGGCCCTGAGAGGCTAGCGACGGCCTCCCTGTGCAGGTCATTCTGGGTCAGAGGGCCTCAGTCCATGTAGCCACCACGGGTGACACAGCTGCGTCGTGGGCTCTGAGCACACCGTGACGGGTGCCCGGATTCCGGTGGAGGGACGCGCAAGGGCACTCCTGCTTGCTGACCACCTGGCAGGACTGGTGCTTTCAGGTGTCTGGGTGTCTGTCCCGACCAGCCCAGGGGTCCTGCCAGCGTCATTTGCTGAGTCTGCCCCAGCAATGGCAGAGACATGGGCTGCAGACCAGAGACCTGGGTCCCGCTGGTCATGGCTCTGCTGGAACTTCATCTCTGGGTGAGGCTTGGGACAGCCCCTCCTCCTGTGAAGTGGTTTCTCCAGGCCTCTCGTGGGATGTTCAAGGTTCAGTGACTCATGCTTCTCCTCCTTTGAGGATCCGTGTGCCTCGAAGCAGAGCAGCTGCCAAGCAGTGTGTCCTCTCCCTGGGGGCCGGGAGGAAGCCCCTCCTCATGCTGCGTCTCTCTGTGCAGCGCAGCTCAGGGAAAGCCACCAGAAAGTCTGGGTTTTAGATTCATGTGGGCCGGGCACAGGGTATGTCTCTGTAACCGGCAGCCCGACCTCGGCTGAGATAGAAAGGCTTGACCTTTAGAAAGATGAGAACCTCCAATGGGGCGGGTCCCCAGGTGTGAGCTGCAGAGGCCTGCGCTGTAGCCTCTGGCCCAGCTCCCGGCAGGGATGAGAGATGACCCCTGACACTTCTCCTGCCCTCGGGGTCCACTCTGGTCCCTCCTCCACACACACAGCTGCCGCCTCCCCACATGACTCCTTAGCCCTGTCTCTCGGGTCCCATCCCCTGCTTCCTCTCCATCAGTTCCTTGTAGGACTCCGGGCAGTCCTGCCACAGCCCTTGGGAGGCCTGTCTTGGCTCCGAGCCCCTGGTGGGAGGGAGGGGCTCCCTGTCCTGCTCAGCCTGCTCGGGGCTTGGCTGCATCACATGTCCTCCCTCATGTTGGATTGATGGTGCATCTGGGCCATCAGCTAAAAACCACAGGGGACATGGCCTGACATTGACCTCCCTGGAGCCAGGACAGGCCCAGCCTTGGACACGTCCAGACAACATGGCCCTCTGGGAGGTGTCTGAGAAGGAGAGACAAGGGTCAGCCAGGACAGGTGGCCCAGAGTCCCAGGCCCCCCGGTGCCAGCTTGGCTCTCCCACCACCCAGTGTCGCCCAGGCTGTAGGCTCCCTTTGGTCTGTGTAAACCTTAGTTCCCGAAGTTCATGTCCTTCCCTGTAACTCACGACCCTTCTGTGGACCTTAGAGAGGGTGTGTCCCCCACCCTCACTTTGCACTGACACCTAAGAGTTCATTCCTTCAGGCAGGAGTCCTGGTTTTGAGAGGAAGAGGGGCAGCACTTTGGGGCCTATCGTGGGAACACAAGAGCAGCACAGGGACTGATGGGCAGGCCCCTGGCATCCGTGTTCTCTGGGGAGTTGGAGCCTCCACAGGAGCCCTCGGCCCAACCCTGGTGCTTTGAGGAGGATGGAAACCCATCTCGGCCTAGTGAGCTCTCCCTAGGGGAAGGGAGGGCCTTCATGGAAGGACAGGAGTGAGGGCTCCAGTTCCACCGCAAAAAGAAGCAGAGAAGATGAGGGTGTCCAGCAGGGGTGTCCAGCCAGGGGGGGGGGGTGCGTGTGGACAGGGGGCAGTCACATCTTCAGACCAGAAGCAGCCACACCAGATATGCAAAGGTTGGACATAACATTCCTTTCACTGGGACAGATGGGGCGGCAGGGGAGAAGGATTAACAGTAAGACGGGGAGGGGGGAACAAGGCGGGAGGCATGGGCCACAAACCCCAGGCTCCATCTGAGAGAGCAGGCCTGGGGTCGGACCGCTGCCCTGCGTTCGCTTTGCCACATCCTCACTGTGGGCCTCTGAGCAGATCACTGGACTCCCTGGGCTGGTGCCCTTCTCTGAATGAGGGTGAGTGACAGCTGTGCAGGGCCTTCCTCCTCAGGGCCGGCTCCAGAGCAGGCGCTGCCATCAGGGCAGATGCCTGCTTCCTGCTGAGCCCAGACCTGGTGCTAGGAAGTGGGGCAGTGATAAGGAAGGAGAAGAAAGATGTTCTCACTTGTGAGAAAGACTCAGACACGTGGCACCTTGCAGCGCCTTTTGCTGTTGGCCCTGGCTGGTGGGGCTGCCCAGTCCTCGGGTCCCCATGTTGGGGCAGGGGGCTGGGTGTGCCCACAGGGTGCTGTGAGGGCACGGATATGAGCCCCACTGTGCCTGACCCTCCCCCTCATGGGGAAGAAGCTGCCTGCCTGCTGCTTCTGAGGAGTCTGGAGACTGTGCCCAGACCTGTGAGATAAAGGCAGGGCGGCCTCGGCCCAGGAGAAGTAGGCAGAGCTGGCATTAGAGCAGCGACCTTTCTGGGAGTTTGTAAACCTGCCTGTGCCAGGCCGCTCCCAGCCAGGTGAATGGAGCCGGCTCTTGGTCCTGCTGCTCACTGGGTCGCTGGTGTCTGAAGGTCCTGCCCCCAGTGGTTCTAGTCGGTGGCCAGAGGTCTGGGGTGTTTAATGATCTGAGAGCCGGATCATGGGCTCCTCTCTTTTAGCTTTAGAGCCTTCAACCCAAACGAGCATCAGGGTCCCAAGTCCAAATGCAGGCTCTTGGGCCCCAGCCCAGACTGACCTTGTCAGAAGCTCTGAGGGTGGGAGGGGCCTGGCACTCTCAGGAGGGGTCAGCTCTTGTTGTACCTGCCACCTGCCAGGTGTGAGCTGAGCACATCACCCTGACAGAAGCTGGCGCCCATGCCTGCTGCTTGCTGGCCCTGTCAGTTACGGAAATGCACTCATGGTCACATTGTTAGCAGGGAGCCACACTCTCCCCCTCCCAGGTGGTCATGAGTTTGGTGTCAGTGGGAAGGGACAGCACCATGGGCCTCGCCTGGGAGTCGCACCTCAGGGCCCACCCTGAGTCTGAATCTGGGTCCATCACGGTGTTCAGGTGTCAGGCACAGAGTGTGAGACCTGCGGGTCCAGGCAGCTCATGTTCAGGGAGTGGGCACTGGTGTATTCCGCAGAAGAGCTCCGTGACGGGCCGCTGATTGGGCTTTGTCCAGGCAGGACGGAGAGGGTCTGGCCTGGGCAGCAGTGGGGTGTGGAGGGGGAGCCACATGGGGAACGAGGACAGGCCTTGGTGGTCCATTTACTTGGAGGGGAGAGGAGGGAGAGAGATGGCAGAGGACCCCTCAGAGCAGCTGGATGAATAGGAATGTCACCAACTGGGTGAAGTCCCGGTAGGACATCCAGTGGTGGCTGCTGGCCCCAGGAATGTGGCCTGACCCTCAGGACAGTAGTGGACACGGCCTAAGATGGAAGCATTGAGAGTGAGCAGTGGAAAGCTGGGAGGGAAGCTGACCGATTGGTGTCCATGGCCTTTGTCTCTACCATGAGCTGGAAGTACACACCATGGGCTGAGAGGTGATGGTCTGGGTGTGGGGAGCTCACTGTGCAACTAGGCCTGACCTGGGCAGCGGCTCAGGGATGCCACCCAGGAGCCAGGCTTCTCCCTTCCTGCTCTGCAGTCTTGGCAGTGGCTGAAGTACTTCCCCAAGAAGTGGGACGGAAGGTTTTCCCTTGTTAAAAGGTCTGATAAAGTGTTCCCTGGGGCTGACAGGTTTTGGGTTTGCTTTAAAACACAGTTCACTCCCTGAAACGGACTTTTGCATGGGCTCGGTCTTTGGCTCTGCAGATTGAAGACTTGCGAGTTCAGATGGAAAGAGAAAAGCAGACCAACCAGGATCTGGAGATCCTCAGTGAGGAGCTGATGGAGGAGAGAGAACAGCTGCTCTGTGACATAGAGACCCTGAAGGCTGAGAGAGCCCAGGAGGTAGGCCCTCCAGTGCCCATGCCTCCTCTGGCACCCCTGCCTGCAAGACGGAGAGTCCAGGATCATAGGATGTCCTGGGAATCCAGCAGTGATTCCCAGGTTACCAGTTTCCTTATCAGCTGCAGTCAGACCAGCAATTACAGCCACCGAAAGGGGGCGAAGGCAGGGACAGTTATTGCCCCCAGGGACACTGGCAATCTTGTTTTTGATTGTCATGACTTGGGGGAGGAGAGGGGAGGTGCTCCTGACTGTGGTGGGGAGAGGCCAGGATGCTGAAAATGTCCTGCTGCACACGGGACAGCCTGCAGGACAAAGAAACATCCCACTTCAAATGTCCAGCATCACTGAGAACCCTGGCAAACCTCCAGGGTTGATCCACCTCACAGTAAAACAAGCCCCAGGGTAGGCCTCCCAGTGCTGGGTCAGGGGCTCAGGGACGCCACCCAGGTCCCAGGCTTCTCCCTTCCTGTTCTGCAGTAAATCAGAAGAAGCCTTAATCAATAAGCCAAATTTATTTGGAGTCCTATTCATTTTCGCTAGCCCTAGCGGGCCCAGAGGAACTCTTGCTTCTCAAATTCTGGAGCCCAATATGGTGGAAGTCTTTTCAATTTATATTTTTTTTCAGCTCTTTGTTTTCCAAATTTAGAATGAGACTTCAGGACCTTCTGAGAAAAAGTCCTGTTTGCTCGGACAGGGCCATGAGACCATATCTCAAGGCCTGGCCAGGTGCCAGCACTGACAACTCTGTCTGGGGCAGAGTTTATGTCCTCTCTGGAGTGGGGAGTAGTCTTATTTCCCTATTATTTAAGCAAGCAAACGTTTACAGAGTAGCAGCGTTAAAGTTTTAAACAGCAGTTTTTACCCAAGATGGAGGTTACTATACTTCAAAAAGTGATCTGTGGGGCTCACAGGTTTTGGGTTTGCTTTAAAACACAGTTCACTCCCTGAAACGGACTTTTGCATGAGCTGGGTCTTTGGCTCTACAGATTGAAGACTTGCGAGTCCAGATGGAAAGAGAAAAGCAGACCAACCAGGATCTGGAGACTCTCTGTGAGGAGCTGATGGAGGAGAGAGAACAGCTGCTCTGTGACATAGAGACCCTGAAGGCTGAGAGAGCCCAGGAGGTAGGCCCTCCAGCGCCCATGCCTCTCCTGACACCCCTGCCTGCAAGAGGGAGAGTCCAGGATCATAGGATATCCTGGGAATCCAGCAGTGATTCCCGGGTTACCAGTTTCCTTGTCAGCTGCAGTCAGACCAGCAATTCCAGCCACAGCAGGGCGCGGGTGGGGGGGGGGGGCAGATATTGCCCCCAGGGACACTGGCAAACTTGTTTTTGATTGTCATGACTTGGGGGAGGAGAGGGGAGGTGCTCCTGGCTGTGGTGGGAGAGGCCAGGATGCTGCTAAATGTCCTGCAGCACATGGGACAGCCCGCAGGACAAAGATCCCCCTTCAAATGTCCAGCTTCACGCTCAGAGCCCTGGAGAACCTCCAGGATTAATCTACCCCCACAATACAGCAAGCCCTAGGGTAGGCAGCCCAGTGCTGGGGCAGTGGCTCAGGGACATCACCCAGAAACCAGGCTTCTCTCTTCCTGCTCTGCCAGTCTGGGCCGTGGCTGTTGTACCTCGTCAAGAAGTGGGCAGGAAGAATGTGGAGGGTGAAGAGACAGAGGGAAGGCCTCCTGGGATCCTCTGTGGACATCTCATTGGCCACACCTGACACATGACTAACCCTAGCTGCAAGGGAGGCTGGGTATCAGGTACTTGAGTTCTTCAGCCTCAATAGAGCAAAAAAGGGGGCTTGGGGTGGTGCTGTGTATACATAAGAGACATGCATCCACCCTCCCCTGATACACCTTCCAGTCTAGCAGGTTGAATGATAGGTGACAAGCCAGGTGTCTTCAGATCTGTGCTATTGAGGGAATATACGTGGGTCCAGGGAGAGTCTTATTAGGTGCAGGACATTTAGAATCGTGGTGCAGGGCTTCCCTGCGGTGCAGTCAATTACACTGAGCCCTGGATGATGAGAAGGAGCCAGAGAAGCTGGAGGCTGGGGGTGGAGGCAGGTGAGCATTCACAGCAAAGGGAAGATCATGTGCAATGCCTGCAGGGGGGAGTGGTGTGAGGAGCGGCCACAGGGGTGGGCAGTCAGCTCTCGGGCCACTGTGGACCAGGGTAAAAAGCAAAAGGAAATCACTTTCATTGTTTTAAGAGAAGATGCGGTTTCTGTTTCTAAGTCATCTGGCTTCTGTGAAAGTGTTTAGACTTGAACTGTCTGGGTGGGGATCTCCATGCCCTTCACCTTGTGTCCATATCAGGCCTTTGGGAAACGTTAGGACGTCCTTTGGGTCCATGATGAGATGAACATTCCAGGCATACACTTTGGGCTCCCAGTTTGGACCGAAATCACGTCTGTGTCCTTTCCATTGTGTTTTCCTGCAGATCAAGGATCTTGAACAAGTGGTGCTTTCGCTACGGGAGAGTTCACAGGCCAGCAGTGAGGCCTGCTTGCAGGACATCGAGAATGAGAACAAAGTCCTCCACCAGACAGTGATGGAGACCAGCAGCAGAGTCAGCAAGCTGGAGTGGGAGCGGCAGCAGCTGCACCAGGATCTGGAGCAGGTGAAGGAGCAGGCGGCACGGGTGCAGGAGCTGGAGCAGGAGCTGCATCGGCTGCAGGAGGAAAATGAGAAGCTGGCCATGGAGGTCAGCACCCTGACAACGGCCCCCGAAAGGGTCCACACCCTGGAGCGGGAAAGCCAGGACCTGTTGCTGGAGAACCAGAGGCTGCAGACGTCTCTGGACACCCTGCAGCCCGAGGGTCTGGAGCGGGACAAGCAGCTGGACACCAGGGTAATTCTGGCCTCAGAATGAGTTAGGACGGATTCCTCCCTGTTCAACTCTCTGGTGGTTTGAATGCGGTTGGATGGATGTTGTGAAAATATTGGTTAATTGTGTTGGTATTGCTGTTCAGGTTCTCTATGTCCTTACTGAATTTCCATGCACTTTTCAAAGTACTCAGAGAGGGTACCCAAGGAGGTTATCCAGAGAAAGGACATAAATTGCTCAAGAAAAGTCACATGTGTAGACAGGGGCCCAGGACTAAGCTTAGGCCCATGTGACAGTCTGTTTCTGCCCTGGGCCTTCCCAGAGCAGTTCCTTGAGTGCAGGTAGAACTGTCCTCAGCACGGCTGGGTTTTGCCAGTCCTGAGGGTCCTGCTATTTTTGTGTCAAAACTTGACCTTCTCTTGGCCCTTCCCTGTGTGGGAGGATGTGGGGATCCAGGGATCCGGAGTTTGTGGTCCCCCTGGGCCTGAACCTGGTGAGGCATCATCCCCTTCTCCCTCCTGGAAGGTGGAAAATTCCACTCTGTGTCCCCAGAGCGCCTCGCTCACTGCGCTCATAGAGAAGAACACTCAGCTCCAGCACCAGCAGCTGGCGGCAGCCCACGAGGCCCTGCAGCGGGAACACGCGTGCCTGGGCGCGCTCCATGAGCACCTGTCTGGGGAACATGAGGCCCTCATGGATGAGTACAGCCGCCAGAAGACACTGCTGCGACGGACCCTGGAGCTGGAGAGCAAGGTGCTCAGTGACAGGTGGGTGCCTGCGGCTGGGGGGTGACTGACGGGCTCCCCGGGCTCCTGTCCCCCCTTCACTCTGGTCCCTCATGTTTCCTCTGTCCCGCTGCTTCACAGTGAAGAGAAGTAAATCCACCATCTCCCTCAGCGATGTGGAGTTGGTGCGGCTGGAGACTGAGGGGCAGGAGGGTCCCCCAGGGGAGAAGGGTGTGCCCACTAATCCCGGCTCAGGGAAACCAGGTGTCAGCATTGGGGACCCAGCTCCCCTGGGCATTCCTACCCCCTCTTCCTTTTCTCTCCAAACCAAGGACAAGGACGGGAAGTCACCACAGCGGCCAATGTTCAGGGGCGTGCCTTACCGAGGTCCCCAGGCCTTTTCCCTGTCCATGACTCAAAGTCTGGGCTTCTGAATTTCTTTTTTTACTTTTAATTTTGGAAACTTTTGAATATATGGACGTGTACAGAATAGTATAGTGAAAACCCCGTGTTCCCATCACCTGCAGCAGCATTACCAATCCTCTGCCATTCTCATGTCACCTTTACCTCTGACTCTTCATACATCTTTTTTTTTTTTAAGTAAAATTGATGTACCTTAAATGCATAAATCTTAACTTTGGGCTTTTGCCAAATCAGGGCATTGTGTGCATGTAGTCAGCCAACTTCGGCTGAGCTCCTGCCCGGCAGATCCCTGATTTCAGTGGACCCGGGAGTTGCAGCGGGACCCAGAGCCTGGGGGAAGTGAGATGTACAGAGAACTCCAAGGTGGGGGGGAGAGAGTGGGAGAGATGCGATAAAGAGAGGCTCTCCCACACTTGGAGCAGCGCAGGAGGGAGCTGTCCACTTTCTGTGCTTGTGAGTTGTCCCTGCTGAGTACTTCCCTTGCCTCTGTCTCAGCAGATGCCAGGCAAAGGCTGGGACTTCCCTGGGAGCAGCTGAGGTGCAGGGATTTGGCATCACAGGGTCCAGGAGGGCGCTGAGCCTGCAGAGCCTGTGGAGGGCGCCTGCTGCTGCATGAACTTGGGAGCAATGATGTTCATTTACGCACTCACCCAGTGCTGCCTGTGGACTCTCTCCAGAGCCTTCCACCCCTTTCTCCACCCAGATTCCCTTCCTTTGGGGGTGCTGAGACGTCTGCTCCTATCAGACTCTCATTCCTTCCCACCAGAATGAGTATCTTCTGCCTCGTGGCATCTCCTTCTCTGCCTCCTCCGCACCCATCCTGTGTTCACGAGACACTTAGTGAGCACCCACTGGGCCCATGGTGCTGTCTAACGTGGTGGGAATGCACCCAGCTGACTACTGATGGGAGCCTCCCGTGGTGCCCACCCCGCACCAGGCGCTGCGGGCCTTACCCTCAATGCCCTATGATAACCGTGTGGATATATTCTTATGTCTGTTCACATGGGAAGGTTTGTGCAGGTGGCATTTGACTGCTCTGAGGGAGGAGTTCATTGTTCTGCCTATGACTCCTTGCTTGATGGACCTACTGTGTGACTCAATGGTTTTTGCTGGTTGGACAGATAGCTGGAGGCCCTTGGTGTGTCTGCAGCATGGCTGCAAGTTGAAGGTGGAGGTACCTGGAACACAGGCCTGGGGCTCTGTATTCATTTCACCTGACACTTGACTGGGACACTCACTCCTTTGTTCCCCTGGTGCACATGTACTGGGTGTCCAGCCTCGTACCCAGGATTCAGTGGGAAGTAGGACTCACAGTTTCTGCCCTGCCGGAGGGTCGTTACTAATGGTTGCGATATGCTTGATCCTGTGCTTTTCCAAGACACAACAGGGAAGCAGGAGGTGGGGACCCTAATGGTCCATAGCCCTGTTTCTCAAACCTGGATGAGAAAGATCGCCGCCCTGAAAGCCCAGCAGAGCCCCCACCCCCACCTTCCACATCCCACGTCCTGTCCTGGCAGTCTCCACCCATGGCTAAAGGCCACACAAAGGAACGTTTGTCTTCCCACAGCCACCTGAGCAGGTGTCTGAGTTTGAGTACCCACAGGTCTTGGCTCCAGGCAGAGGTTACAAGTACAGCTGATATGGGGTCAGGGGAGGAGGGGCGGGTATGGAGGGCTGAGGGCAGGGGCTGAAACCATGGAACCTGGGTGGTCTCTGTCAGCCTTTCTCTGGGTGTGGACACCTCAAGAAGGGGGTCTGGAAAGGGATTTGCCTGCCTGGGGAAGATTGGAAGGTGATGACTCAGCCTCCACCTTGGACCTGGGGGGCCCCCCGAGTCACCCTGAACAGGGAAGGTTCCTGCAGGAGGAGGAACAGCCTGGGGCTGGTCAGGGGCTCCCTCTTGTGCTCTGCTGCCCTCCAGAGAGGCTGTGCAGGACCCTCTGCAGACTGAGACAGGAAGGAAATAAAAGCCCGAGCTGAGGGGAGGCTGTGGGAGAGCGAGGGCAAAGGATGGACTGGGGTTGCCTTGAGGAGCAGGGTGTGCAGCTGCCCCTGGTGACTGCTTGGGCCCCACCAGGCAAGCCTCTGGCCCCCAAGCTGCCTGGCTCAGAGCAGGAAGAGTTGTGTTCCTGAGCTGGGGCGGAGGGCTCACCCAGGACCCGGTGAGGGGGATCAACTGTTATGGGCGGTGGAATTCCCCTGTATGTGTTGTGGGTTCTTTGAGAAGCGTGTGGAGTTCAGAAAACAGTGGTTTTGTTCCCAGTGGGATGAAGGAGGGAGGCTGTTTTGACAGGGTCTGGAAGGGACCATGGAGACACCTTGGGTGGGAGGAGGGGTACTTGGCTCCTGGGCTGAAGGAGACCACCCCGAGCTGGCCCAGTGTCTGTTCCTTCTCTCCGTCCAGCCCCGTCCCCTGCCCATCCCCCTCTCCCTCAGCTCTGCAGAGAAAAGCTGCTCACCCTGGCTTTGAGGTCTCCCTGGGTGCCCATTCCTAGTGGGTGTGTTTTCCTTCAACAGATACAAGGACCAGCTCCAACATAAGGTGGCGCTGGAGCAGCTGGGGATGCTCTTGACCACCGAGCGGGAGGCTCTGCAGCAGGAGCAGAGGACGAGCACCATGGCCACCAAGGAGAACCAGAGGCTGCAGGGAGAGCTGGACAGGTAACCGCCAGGCCCCCTGCAGCACCTCTGCCTGGATGTCAGTCTGACCCACTCACTCAGCACCCGCTGAGCTGAGCTCAAGTGAGACCCCTGGTGATGGTGCATTTTTACCAACCCTGCCCTGGTAGCAGCTGGTGGTAACAAGGTAAAGGGGACTCCAGCTGGTGGCTGGAAGGAAGGACTTGGCAGCTGGGATGGGGCATTGTCTAGGTTTGGACAACCTCCCCTCCCACAGTTATGATGCTGATGACTGTCTGGCAGGGGCACCTGCATCCTCTAACACCAGCAATCCTGTGAGGGAGGGAGGCTCGGTCCTCAGCATTCACACATTCCCATTTGTGAATTCACCTCCTGGATGAACTGTACTGGTGACCCCCAAATCAGTGCCTGTGGCCTGTCATGGACGTGCCCAGAGTGGGAGATACTGGAGTCGCCTGATGTGCACATTTGCAGCTGAGGTTGAACAAGGCCTTTGACCCCAGCCTTTTTTCAGCTCTCACCTACCATCCTCCCCTTCATGGGCCATTGAGTGCCATGGTATTCATTTTTGTGCGTTTTGGTGATGATTTCGCTGTTTGAAATGGCTCCCAAATGGAGTGCTGAAGTGCTGTCTAGTGTTCCCAAGCGCTGGGCCTTACGGGGAATGTATGAGTGACACTCAAGGGTCATTTGGACCCAGGAATGGTGCTGTTGGCTCTGAGTGTATTACAGGAGGCGTCTTTGTGTCTTGATCAGCTGACACAATGTGACCAGAGACTCCCAAGAACCGGTGGGAACAGGTTCAGTATTCACATTATACTGCGAATCATGATAATTGATTGAGCTATTGTTATTCTTTAAAAAAACCAGAGCAACAGAGGAGAAAACAGGCTCAGGGAGATTAAACAACTTGTTCAAGGTCAATGCTCCTAGTTAATGGCACAGGCAGGATTCAAATCCAGGTCTTGCCTCAGCCCAGAGGCTTGACCACATGAAGCCTTCCTTCCCATAGCCCTGATTTAACATGTGCTGTGGGGCTGTAAACTCAGCTGCCTGCAGTGGCCGGGCAGGTCCAGCAGGTGGGGAAGGAGAGTCAGCGATAGACCAGGCCCTGGTGGAGAATACACCCCAGTTAGAGGCTGTCAGTTGGGAGGCAGGTCAGGCTGCCAGGTCACCCTTCTTTATGCTTTTTTTTTTTTTTCTGAGAAGAAGATATCTGAATGTTGATGGAAACTTAAAATTTTGGAATGCTGGTACAATAATTATTTTTTTGTTGTGTTTGTTTTTCAAAAATATCTGCTTTGTTTGGGCAGGACAGAGGACCAGGAGCAGTGGTTCTCAACCTTCCTAATGCCATGATCCTTTAATACAGTTCCTCATGTTGTGGTGACCCCAATTCCATTGTTACAAATTGAACATAATTAAAGCATAGTGATTAATCACAAAAACAATATGTAATTATATCGGGTGTCCCAAAATTCACGCAAGATATGCAACTCAATTCAATTGCAAATCTTGCGTGAATTTTGGGACACGCTATATGAGTGTTTCTGATGATATTAGGCGACCCCTGTGAAAGGGTCCCGACCCACAGGTAGAGAACCTCTGAGTGGGAGGACCTGGAAACATGTCTGAAGCCAGGGGCCCTTAAACCTAAACCGGCAAGTACTTACAGAACCACAACAGAGAATCTTTTTATCTTGTTCTGTTTCCTTTCTTTATGTTATTTTATTTTTTTAGTGGCCTTTATTGGAGAGACTTGAAATAATAAAACCACACACACTTTAATATGAAATAAAATAGAATAAAATAAGTAAATGTTAAAAATTTTTAAAAAGCTGTGTGGGCCAAATTTCACACACCTGTGTTCAAAGTGAGTCCAAGAGCCTCTGGTCATATGAGCTTTTTGGTATAAATCTTCCCCAGGAATCCCAGTCTGGTAATGATTAGGATGATGATAATTTCAATGGATTTAGGTAACACTCCAGAATCTCCTATTTTATTTACCTCAGTAGTTGAAATTAGAAAGGGGTTTAATTTTGGGGAGAAGAGCTGGATATAGACATAGAGTCTTAGAGCAGAAATGTTCTGATTCAGTGTTTAAGTGTCTCAATCAAAGAACTCTTTTTCTAAGTAGGCAGATGTGCCAAAGCCTCACATAGAAAGGACTTTTACAGGGATGCTCTGTTGTAATGGTGTCCTAGCCTGCCTGTCCTTCTCCCCCAACACCCAGTGGGGCAGCTGGGGTAGCCTCCTAGAACCCCAGTGAACACAGTTTGAAAACCGCTGATTTTGTTCAACCCTTCATTAACACATGAAAAAAACTGAGGGCCAGAGAGGTTGCTGTTTTGATTAAGGTTGCACAACTGGGACAGAGCCTGGGAGTGTGCCTCAGCCCTTGGCCCTGTGTCTCTCCACCCCCAGGGCCAATTCCCTGCACCAGCAGCTGAAGAGGGAGCAGGAGGAGCTGCAGACGCACAGCAAGAAGCTGCAGACCTCCCTGAGTGACACCCAGCTGCAGGTGAACTGCTGGCAGGCCCAGTGCGACTGGCTGAGGAAGGAGCAGGAAGAGCTGCAGATCTACAACAACGAGCTGCAGACCTCCCTTAATGAAATGCAGCTGGAGAAGAACCGCTGGCAGGCCCGGTATAAGGGGCTGAAGGGGCAGCAGGAGGAGCTGCAGGTGCACAGCAAGAAGCTGCAGACCTCCCTCAACGACACGCTGCTGGAGGTGAACTGCTGGCAGGACCAGTGCAACTGGCTGAGGGAGGAGCTCCAGAGCAGGGACATCTCGCTGACCGAGCTGGGCAACCACTGCCAGGTGAGGCCAGACCTGGAGCCCCCAAGACCCTGAGTGGGCCTGTTCCCTGGGCTGACGCCTTGGGCTCCACCAGGTGGGAATGGGTCCTCATTGGCATCTCTGCTCAAAGGGTGTGTGTGAATGTCACACAGAGGCAGAGAGGAAGCCAGAGGCAGTTGACTGGGATGAACACCAGGACTGGCAGGGGTGTGCTACAGAACACTTTTCACCTGATCTTTGCTTTTTGCAGGGTCGGGGAGGTGCATGGAAACAGCCAAGTACCGTTGTATCTCCGTCCTCTCGGCTGAGCACTATGCTCTCTGTGTCATCTCATTTAATTCTCACAATGATCTTGTGAGCTGGGGTTCCCATTCTTGTCCCTCTGAAGTAGCGGGTTGGAATCCCGTTTGTCTGAAGCCAAAGCTTGGGACTTCCTGCTACACCAACCGCGATGATATTTTAGAGCAGGAGCTGGCCAGCCTCAGCCCAAAATTCAGGTCCAGCTTCACGCCTGTTTGTGTATGGCTGAGAACCAAGAATAGCTTTCACAGTTTTTAATGGCTGGGGAAAATCAAAAGCAGGATAATATTTGGGGGCAAGTGAAAGTGACATGAAATTTAAATGTTGGTGTCCATGAGTTAAGATTTTTGGTTTTGTTTATTTTTTAAACACAGACACACCCATGCGTGTGCATTGTTTCTCTGGCTCCTTTCCTGCTGTAATAACAGAGTTGAACAGTTGCAACAGGACCACTGTCGGCCTGGAAAGCCTAACATATTTAGTACCTCGTTCTTTACCGGAAAGCGTGCCAACCCTGCCTAGAGCAGAGACGTGCAATAGGAATATAATGCAGGCCACTACATGTAACACTCAGCTTTCTAGTAGCCATATTCAAAAAGTAAAAGGAATCAGGTGAGATTAATTTAAGGGTCTATTTTATTTAACCCTTATATCTAAAATATCACATGTAACCCCTAAAGCTTATTAATGAGATTTTTTTATAATATGTTTTTACTGACTTTTTGAGAGAAACATCCATCAGTTGCCTCCTGCATGGCTTCTACTTGGGAATGGAGCCAGCAACCCAGGCATGTGCCTTCATCAGGAACTACACTGGTGATTTCTTGGTGCATGGGATGATACTCAACCAAGCCACAAGCACCAGGCAGCTTATTAATGAGATATTTTACATTATTTTTGAATCATTATTAAGTCCTCAGAACCTATTATATATTTTGCACTTATGGCTCAGCTCAGACTGGCTGCATTTTCAGTGCTAAGCGGCCACACATGGCCTGTGGCTGCCTGATTGGATGGTGCAGTGACAGAAGGCTTGGCCATCCCCATGGCATTGGCCATATTGGTCATGCCAGCTGACGTAGATAATACCAAAATGGCCATCTTTGTGCACGTGGCCTTTTTCAACTTTTGGAAGTAGATTCCCAGCAGTGGAATCACAGGAGCGTGTGGTGTTTGAAACATTGTCCATCTGTGTTTTAGCTGCTCTCCCACCTCAAGGGCAACTTGGAAGGAGAAAACCGTCACCTGCAGAGCCAAAACCAAAGATTGAAAGAGCAGAACCAGAGGCTTCTCCAGGAGGACGTGGAGAACAAGGACCAGCACCAGGAGCACCAGCGGCAGTACGTGTGAGGGGTGTGGGCTGATGGACGCCCGTCAACAGAGGGGTCGTGGCTTCCAGCTCCGTGACTAGACCGCGCCATTCTGGGCAGCAGAGAACCCTTGGGCACATTGGTGTCCCAGGCAAGGGGACAGACCATCTTACCAGCACATCCTTCTCGTTTTCCCGGGAAGGGAATGGTTCCAGATTTCTGCAAATAAGGGTGGTTGGCTTTGTTGGCTTTTCAGAGACACTTCCCCCTGCCAGACGCTTCTTAATCTGCTTTTGGGATCCAGTTCACTTTGAAAAATACAATAGTGATAAAGAGAAGTTCCTAGGGAAGGACTTCAGATCACAGGCTGAGCCCTTTCTGTGTCGGTTTTTCCCTTAATGGGTTGCAGAGTGGGTTGTTGGTGCACAGTGGCTGTCCTCCCTCTGCCCACATTGCCTTTGCTGACAGGCCTCGCCCTGCGAGATACACAGAACCAGTTACCTGGTCTCCAGGAACCAATAGGGTTGATGGGATGAGAGCAGAGCTGTGTGCACACAGACAGATGTTGAGGAGCTTCCTGGAAATGGAAGGAAGCGTGGTGGTGGGAGTTGGAGTTCTGCTGCTGACATGGATGGGGAGAAGGCTAGCCAGTGTGTGTGGGGAACTGGCGGGGGGGGGGGGCGGGTGCGGGGGGAACGTGAAGGTGGAGCTTCGCATTTTCTGGTTGCAGGGAAGGTGCAGGGAGTGGCAGGAGGGGAGCTGGAGGAGGCAGCGCTCAGCCATGGAAGACTGCCATACCTGGCAAATGAGTGGGATTCACTGGGAAGTGGGTGATTAAGGATGCTGGTGTACAAGGCCTTGGAAGCTGCCAGAAATGAGGGCAGGAGGAAGAGCCTTGGTGCTGGAAACCTTGTGGTTTTGAAGTCAAGTCATCTGAGACGCATCTTGTGGGTTCTCGGTGCTGTGCTGCTGGGACTGTCCTTCCTTGTGATCGGGAATGGCTGGCCAGTGTGGGACAGAGGGACATGGACACAGTGACCACTGGGTACTGTCCCAGCTCCCCGGGGTGATGCTGCTGTTCACTGTTCTCCCGGATTCGTCTGCTCATCTACAGGGGGCTCAACATCTACCAAGGATGGTTGACATGGGAAACCGCACTGTACTTTTTGGGTAGAAGTGAGAGTTTGTAGCCTGAAGTGGGCTCTCTATAATGCAGCTGCTAAAAATTACCAGCAGAGGTTGGACAGGTGCAAACTAGAAGAGTGGGGACCTGGTACCCTGGGGATGATCTGATGAGGGTTTTGCATTAGAAAGTGTCTGCAGGAGGCCAGGGAGTGGGCAGGCTTCCTGAGCCTGCTCCAAGCAGAGTCATCCCCAGCCCTGGGATAGCTGGGCCATGAGTTTGCGGGGCTGGGGGACGGCTGTGGGAACAGAATAACACAGACTAGAAGAACAGAGGCCGAGCCGAGGGTGCTGGGAGCAGAGCAGGTCTGTGGCCAGGGACCCAGTAGTTTGCAAATGATCACTTCTCACGGGTGCTCACTATGCGGTGAACTCACGGAAAAGCCCTCATAATAGGAGGGGCCTGGGCACCTTCTTGACTGAAGGAGCCTGAGCAGCTCTCTGGATGCCGAGGACTCATTTTCAAGCAGGGGAAAGCCGGGGTCTGAGCTGTCAAGGCCACATGGGTGAAGAGAGGCAGGAACAGGACAGGAGGCAGCATCCCAGTGGGGGGAGCTGTATAGCGAGCACTGCGTGCATGGCTCCTAGACAGACAACAGGACAGCATGCCATGTCTTCTGCTTCAGGAAAGCCAGGCCCCCTCTTCCAGGAGCGGGGGTGCCCTCTGGCAGCCCAAGGTTTAAGAGGCTCCTTTGTGTTTTTTTAAAAATGTGAACTGACTTCCCACATTTAGAAATTAAAAGATGTTGCTTCAGAGCCGGGGCTTCTAGTTCCTTTGGGAAAAGCAGTCAGAAGCTCCGCCACATGGAGAGCGGCCCTCCATTTGCAGGCCCCGAGTTAGGTCCCAGGTGGCACCAAGCGCTCAGCCTTGCTGCAGCCCCCACTCCTCCCTCAGGTCCTCCCAGGCCACTTTGCTCCTTATCTTCTCTGTCTGGCTCCCAAAAGGCTTTGAGTTTGCTTCACTAGAAGTGTTAGCAGAAGCCCAACATTGGAGTGGGTCCAGGTTGGAGGGATGACTTTGCTAAACTGACCTTTTTAACCTGATGCCTGTCTAACTCAGCGAGGGCAGACCCCTCCCACCACTAAAGCTATCGTTGGACTGCACCTGCAGGAGCTAGCCTAGCCCGTGCTTCTGACCCGAGTGCCCAGCGTCCTGAGCTGACCTGGCCGGGAACCCTCGGGGTTTCCCAGCTTGAGTGTCAGATGGTTCGGGGTCTCTCTCCTGAGGTGACGCACAGCCTGACCCTAGGTGTTTAGCCTTCTCCTCGATGTGTTAGGCTCCTGGACCCATGTCACATGCTTCCATCCCCATATTCCCAACTCAGGGGTCATGGTGGTCATGAGCACCATGATGTCTGAGTCCCAGAAACACACTGGCTCCTTCTGGGCCAGGTCCTAGGTGGGGTGTTAAGTCAATTTATGTCTTTTATTTTAAAAACAGACTGTTTTTCTCTCTCTCCTCTGTTAGAGACAAATTAAATGCCTTACAGAGACAAAATGAAACACTGGAAGAAAAAAGCATAGCTCAGCGCAAGTTCCATGATCCAGCGCCAAAGAAGTGAGTTGATTTAAGTGTCAGTAGCTTACACACAGGACAGAAAGTTTGCTTTTTCATGAGCTGGGGAAGCTGTAGCATCTAGAGCAGTGGCCAGTTTGTTGGGCCCGTACCTTCTGCTGTATGGCAGGTCCCTGTGTGCAGGTCCCTCCCAGCAGGGAACGAATTTAGAGTTTCTTTCAGTCCCGCCCTCAGTACTCAGGGTTATCCTATGAGGGATGGTGAATGCCAGCTGGCCAGGAGTCTGTTTAAGGGCAGAGAGTCTGTGCTTTTAGAGCCACTAAAGCAGGTGTATCAGCATTTGTCTTAAGTTTGCGGGACTTAGAAAACCAGGTTTCTGTTTTGGGAAGGAAGCTTGGGTCAGATGCCTGGACCAGCACCCCTGTCTTCAAGCACAGGAAACTTTTGTTCTGCCCTCCATTCCTCTGGGTTCACTGGACCTGACCCCAGTCCAGGGCAAGTTCACAAACACATTCCCTTCCCCAGAGAGCAGCAGCCCCGGTGGTGGGCCGATTTGGCCCCTAAGACTGCTGGCCTCCATCCAGCGGGGCTCCCCCTGGGCCCAGGCCTGAGCCCAGGAGCTGAGCCTTCCCATTGTCCTGTCCCAGCCCAGCCTTGAGGTTAAATCACCATGAATCCAGCAGGGCCAATATGTAGAAATCACAGAACCACAGAATTTCAGAACCTCTGACTGACCCTCCTGTGGACAGGGAAATTGAGGCACCGATGAGGAAATTGAGTGGCTTGTGTAAGCACAGTGCTGTTTCGTGGCAGAGTAAGCACAGTGCTGTTTCGTGGCAGAGCCAGGACCAGAACACAGCTATGGTCCCTGTTACATTAGAATGCTTCATTTCCTGTTAGCTGGAATGAATTACCTTTTACATTCACAGTTTTCATTTATTTACTTACTTTTCTAATCCTCACCTGAGGATATTTTTCCCATTGATTTTTAGAGAGAGTAGAAGGGAGGGAGGGAGGTGACAGCCATGGGGGAGAGAGAGAGAGAGAGAGAGAGAGAGAGAGAGAGAGAGAGAGAGAGATGAGAGCGACCCATCAATTGGTTTCCATCTGCACACACCTCGACCGGGGCCGGGGATTGAACCTGCAAACCAGGTATGTGCCCTTGACGGGGGATGGAACCCACCACCCTTCAGTGCTCAGGCTGATGCTCCAACCACCGGGTAACTCATCCAGGGCTCACTGTTTTTACTTGAAGGGGCCCACTCTCCTGCCCTCTTCCCCTCACCCAGATTCCTCAGTGCCGGGAGTGGGCAGAATATGCCAGCCTATTTCATGTATTATTAACTCTAGCAGAAAATGAGGAGGTCCCAGTCTCTTTCTGAAAATGGCATTTTGGTGGAATTTTGCCAACCAGCATGATTAGGTTAGTATAGCACCACTTCCTGCACTTGGCACAGTAATCAAGAGCTAAGAGCTGGGTTTGAAGTTCTGTTTTCCCCAGGGGCCAGTGTGGGTTCCTCCACGATGAAGGCTCCTACCACCCCTGGGTCTGTGTGAATTAACTGTACATTGTGTGCCAACTCCTGAGCCCCAGGTGGGGTGAGCGTGGTGGTGGCGAAGAGCATCCGCTTTCTGAACCAGATTAACCACCACCTTTACAGGCTGGTGATGGAAATTCCAGTTCACATAGGGCACCCAGACACCTGCTGGAGGGGCAGTGAGGGTTGGCTGTGTCCTAAAAACCTACCTCTTACAGGAAAAAGCACTGGATTGGAGCCAAATTCTTACTCAAACTCATCAAACTAAAGAAAGGGGGTTCCAGAGAACGACGGAAGTCAACCTCAGAGAGGCCTTCCTGGCCGCTGGAGTCCTCAGACCAGGCCTTGCCCAGTACTTCTCAGCCTCTTCAATGGCAGCTGGAGCCCCTCCAGGCCACCCCATGCTGCTCAAAGTGAACAGAAGAACAAGAGACCTGCAGGGAGCCCAGGGGAAAAGGTAGGAGGGGCTGACCTGTCTGCAGGCGGGAAGTGAAGGGCAGGAACTCAGGTCTCCCTCAGGGACAGGGGAGAACCAAGGAGACTGCCTCTGTGTGCACATGTGTGTGTGTGTGTGTGTGTGTGTGTAGGATGCTGAAGGGAGTGTGCTCCACACATGCACATCTGTCTCCTTAGGAATGTGAACACCCAAGTAGGAAATATAACCCCCAGTCAGTGTTGCTGTACTTTCGTCCCAGAACAATTCAGGTCCTTTAGTATGAGGAGCCTAATGCCTCATAGACACTGTGGTAGGGACTCAAATATACAGAGCTGGTGTCCACACAGTTACTGCAGAGACAAGCTCCACAGCAGAGGATTTTGGGGTTCCCTGTTTCCTCCAGGCCTACAATAGGCCACTTCTGTAGGGAGATCCGCGGTGCATTTCACACGTGAGGACAGCTGCAAGGTCTTCAGCAAGGCCTCCTGAGGCTCTGATCTTCCTGTCACTTTGACAAGCGGGTCTGGTTTTCTTCTCTGACCTGATCTGGCCTTAAGTCCTGCCACCATGGGGAGCACTGCAGCTCATCATTCAGGGTTGTCACATGGAATTGCCAGAGGTTCTGAAGTGGATTCCTAGTTGCATGTGCTGTATGTATTTCATGGAATCTCAGAGGCTGTCAGGACAAGGGTGCTCACATAAGAAGATAAATGGGTTGTGGCAGTGACAATTTTGTCACAATTGTCACCTGGCCCACAGTGACTGTGAGTCAGAATCGAAGCTGCATCCTGATTTCAGAGATGTTAAGGTTTGGGAGAGGGGGTGTTGGGGTCCAGCCCCAGCAGGTCTAGGGGTTCCCAAAGGTGTGGACGAAGTCAGCGAAGAAGGAATGACACGGAGACAGTGTTCAGTTGATCAGCAGCCTAGCCAGGTTCTCTAGTCACGTTTTCCAGCCAGGTTCTGTCCAGGTTCTCTAGTCAGGTTCTCCAGCCAGGTTCTGTCTTTATTCTCCTGTTACATCTGTATTTATACCAATTGATTTTAATCCTATCCATTCTATACCAAAGGTTTACGATGTTTGTTATCTCCATTCCAAGGTCACTACTCTATTGTTCTGTTAAGCTACAAGGAAGTAACTGAAGGAGATTATCCTAAGTAAAGATTATGTAGCTTAAGCGTGATTGTTCATAGTTAAAGTGGTTAACTACCAGCCAGGCACTTAGTTAAGGGTTTTTACTGATTTATTCCCTTCTGTAGTCCTGTTAATCCCTAACTCCAGGGAAAAATCCCCACCTGGAGAAACAACCTTTCTTGGAGAGGTGACCTTGGTTAAAAACATAGCGCTAAGTAGGGGAGCCAACATATTAAAAACAGTATGCCATATAAACCAGGTCCCTTGAAACATATGCTGTGCAGATGGTTCTTCCCTGCAGCGACTATGTCAAGCGGCAATGATGGACCGGCTTCTGGCAAGGGAGAAAGTGCATCCTACTTGCCTTAAACATGGCTGAGTTTTCAATTTACTTTTAAATATCATTTCATACATGACTTACCTATAAACCTGCCAAACATGCACCCTGAGAATTTAAATTTTATGAAGGACACCAGGACTTCCTGAAGACCAGCCCAGGCCTGAGACTCGTGCCCTTTCAGGGGCGGCCGTTACAGCACCAGAGCCTGTGAGAAGCTGCCTCCTGAGTGTGACCTGTGCACATGCCTTCCTGGGTGACATTCACCACTTCAGGACCTCGAAATGCAAAAAAACGAAGTGTGCACACACATCCATACCAGTGTTTAGGGACTTATGCTCGCATTCCCAGTCTTTACAGGAGGTGAATTAGGTCAAATGCTCACATGCAGGGAAATGATAATGAAGCTTATTAACTTTTATCTTGAGGCATCTGTTGGCAAGGATTCTCATGGGGGCTACATAGATTTTTTTACATTCACCACCTTCCTTTGTGTTATTGTCTAAGTTGAGTTAAATAACGATAATCAGCCTAATACAGCTAGAAAAACTTTCAGAGAAAAGATGCTTGACTGCCCTGGCCGGTTTGTCTTAGTGGATAGAGTGTCAGCCCTCAGACTAGAGAGTCCAGGGTTTGATTCTGGTCAAGGACACATGCCTGGGTTGCAGGCTCAATGCCCGGCCCAGTTGAGGTGTGTGGGTGGCACCCAATCGATGTGTCTCTCTCACAAAAATGTTTCTCTCTCTGATTCTGCTCCTCCCTCCCACTCTCCCTGAAAAAAATATCCTCAGGTGAGGATTAATAAAACAAACGAACAACTGTTTGGATTCCTGAGTGAGGAGGTCAGTGGTAGATATTAGGAATGGCAGCCATGTAATGGGGGCTCTTTCTGGGCTCAGCAATCTTTAGCTAGTTTCATACTTTATGTCTCTCCTTTAGTTCCAACTGCCATGTGAAGTGGGCACGATTCCTATCCCCTTTTCAGGGCTGGGAAAGTGAGGCTTGACAAGGTTAAGCACTTTCCCAGAGAATAAGGGGTGGGGCTGGGAACTGAACCCGGGTCTGACAGATTACGGAGCCTGAACTCTTAACCACTGTGAGCACTGCCTGCAGTTAAAGCTGCTTTGGTCCCTGAAGGTGTTGACCAAGCCTGGGGCACCAGCATTGCCTAGTGGGTCCCCTCTCCTGTGGTGTGAGCTGTGGCCACGAGGTGGTGTTGTGGAGAGAGAAATAACAGCAGACCTGCTATGAACTTGAATCCTAAGTCAGAAATCAGGTAAGTCAGTTATGCTCATGTACATGACATGTTCAGGAAGTTAGGCCAATTGTCTGCTCTGATAAGACTCCATAATTTAAAGGTCATGAAGTGTAGGCTTGCAGTAGAGGATGTGTAGGGATCTAAATGGGAATAATTCTTGATGTTGACAGTGTTTTGGTCTGAAAAAGAGGAATTTCAAACTCATCCTTCCATAAGAGGCTGTTTGAGATGCACAAGGACTATTAGTGAGCAGTTCAGGTGGACTGTCCCGTTGCAGCAGCCAGAAGCATACCAGGAAGTGTCCCAAGGTGTTTGAACAGGAGCAGGAGTTAGTTGTGTGTGAGCCAAGTTGTCAGGGAGCTTGTCATTAGGGCGGAGGAGTAAGAAAAACCGGGTCCTAAACTAGTAAACATTCTTATTTAATAGTTAACACATTGACATTGAAAAATAGTCTAAGGCAGCGGCTCCTAGAGCAATATTGAATGTTCCTCACGTGCTAAGTAAAGCCTGGGAACAGGACGCCACTAAATTAATTAAGTGGGGTCAGAGCAGAATGGTTCACCGAGTCCTGATCCTGGTTGTGCTGTGGGTATTGTTTCCAACTCTCCTGGGCAGGACAGGACTCTGATTTCCCAAGAACATTTAGCTAAGGCAGTCATTTGTTATTCATTTCATTTATTTGTTGTTTTGTTTTGTTTTTCCTTCCTCTCTTGGGTTATCCAGGGGATCACAACTTAGCAACTTGGCACAAAAAGAGTCGCTTCTGCAGAAGTGGAACCGAGGACAAGGCCAAGTCTCCATCATCCCGCCCGGCTTTCTGTAAACGCCTGAAGTTCTCCTCTTCCTCTGACATCGCACCTGCTTCTCACTAGCTCCTCCCTTTCTCAGACACTGGGGATTTCTAATCCATCAGTGTCCTCACAATGTACCTGCCTTCATGTCTGAAATTCAAACAAACAAGCAGAAAAACAAAAACAGTAGCTAAAGGCCAGATGACCCTCAGTGGACCCCTCCTCCTGACCCAAATTCCAAGCCAAACTTAAAGCAGCCAACCTGGATTCTGACTTCAAAGGAGACCAGTTGCTCGGCCTCTGGACCTGACTCCAGCCCAGCCCAGTGTTAGGGGAGCCTCAGGGCATCCATGCCTGGTCCCTGAGCCAGGGTGTCAGTGCTACGTGGCCCAGTGCCGCCCCCTCTCTAGCACCTGCAGGCTTGTTGACCTTGCCCCTGTGCAACACAGAAGTCATCAGCGGTCGCTATGCTTCCGAAACTGTGCGGCCCCTGTCAAGTGAGATTTTTTTAAGACTCATTTTTGGGCAGCTAACTTTAAATCTGCTGCCCTTATCTCCACCTTCTGTGTCAAAGCACAGAATCTTGGCTTTTGCGGAGCAGTCCCTTTTTAGATGTCTTCTATGTTTTGAAGAATTGACTGCTCCACTCAGCATCTCAAATAATCAGATCGATGTTGCCCAGCCAGGGTTCAGCCCAAAGTGACGTTTTGGGACCGTGCTGAGGTCCTCTGACATCTTGGATGCTGCTGTGAGGGCAGCAGTGGACAGACAGGTCATCAGCTCACTGTCACCGTCAGCTGGGAGCGCTGGTCCATAGAGGCCTTTAGCTACTGCATTGTTTTCTGTCTTCAGCCATCCTCGTACCATCTCCATGATTTTGCAAAGTCTATTTCACCTGAGTGATACTTACGTACTTTCCCTTGAATTGACTTGCCGTTTCCAATTTATTTTTAAAGGGAAGATTGTTATCAGTACTGTGAGTGGAAAACCACTATCATAAATGCAAGGTCACCGTGAAAGTAAACGGATGACGCTCGCACTGCTCCTGTCAGTTGATGTGGCACTTACTTCCTCGCATGCATCACTCTGATTCCTGGGCTGCAGCGTGCTGGTCCCCCGCCTGCCTGCCCCGCATGCTGTTGGAAACGCTGTCTCTCTGCCCTGGCTGCTGTCTGGCACCTCCACCTCCCCGCTGCTGCTCACACTGACCTCAGGCAGTGGACGCCTGTCAGATTCATCCCACCAGACTTACATCTTGCTGCTCATCAAGGTTATCTTTCAGAATCCAAATTTCCCCTTGATTTCACATTGCAAGGCTTGGGTGCTTAAAACTACCCCATGAGTCCAGACACTGGGTGGCTGAGGGCCATGGGGGACTTGTCCTGGGAGAGTGTGGAGGGACTGGAATCCCCACAGTGGGCATGGCTTTGGGTCGATAGCTCTCAGGCTGTCTGGAGCAGGAC